AAAAGAATGTCTCTGAAAGCAATATGCAGAATTGAGGGTCAACCACTAACTCGCTCTAAACAAGCGCCAGATAAATGGGCCCATTCGAGATGAAGGAGATGAAGTTATGATATGATACTTTGTCAGAAGTGGTATATCATATCTCAGATTCTACTGATTACATTAGCAAGGATCTTCTATTGTGACAATATCGGAAACCGGATGGATGTTCCGATAAGATATCAGCACTGCCCCTATCATATGTTCAAGCATCTTCTTTCTTATAAATACTGCCTAGATATCATGTAATTACTGGAGTTAATAGAAGAAAAATTCAATTATTCTTTTGATATTCAGTATTTGAATCAATATTCGGACTTTCTCTAGTTCCGACATACTTTAATCTGACCACAAAGGTCCGGAGCCTCTTTTAAGACCAAGCTGGATAATTCACAACTATCTTCCAATAAGCTCTGCGTTAAGCACTACTTCTCAAATTTATCCAGAGGGCTCTTTACCCGCATCTCTTTTTTTTTTTTTTTTTTTTCAGAATGGGGACATTTTCCGGACAACAAGCTTTGAAAAATTCTTTCAATTATTACTTATGCACTTTGTATTAGCAGTGCTGGTTGATTCTGAGTTGGAATTCTATTATTGCAAGTGGTAGACACTTTTGTAAACTAAGCTTTTAATACATTAGAAAAATCCAGAGAAATACTCAGGTAGATGTAATGTCACAGTCTCTTCACTCACAGCATATGTGAAAATAGGCAGCTGCTTATCTAGAAAAGGTTAGTAAAACTAGAAACACCTCAGTTGTGTTTCTACAATGCGTGACAAGTTCTCATTATTGCAGAAACAAACATCAATAACTCGATATAATGTGACGGAGGGCCGTGTTTCCATCACACGCATATACTATATATATCATCTGTCTTTAATTTGATTTTTTCGCTTTTTCGGTTTTTTTTTGAGGGGTTTTTTTTTTTTTTTTTTCAAGTTACTTTACTTCAAAAATCGGACAAAGGCTCAATACTCAATTGAGAGATAAATAGATAGATGATTACAATGAGTCCCTGATGATATTAAACTTCAACAAGATAACCAGCCATGCCAATGTGGCGAATGCTCAAGACCCGTTAAAAGTCATACAAAATAGCGCAATCGTACCGCGTTTTCCGGCACATTGGACCCCCTTTTTTTCAAAGTCGATGCCGGGAGGGCTGGATGCTTGAAGAGAGAGAGAGAGAGAGAGCGAGCGAGCCAGCCCAGCTCATTCGGCCACCGGTGCTCCCTCCAAAAGCATATTCTTTTTTAGGTTGAGGGGAAAGGAAGTAACTAAAGAGGTGAAGCAGAGGCAAGGGAAGTGTAGTAGTGGTTGTGTTAAGCTGCGGTTTCCAGGGGCAGCTTCGAGGAACGTTTGTCTCATACATTTCTGAAATGTCATATATCAATTCAATGGGTTTTGTCCCAAACCAGTTTACTTAACTTGCTTGCTGATACTGGCGAGCTCTTCAATTGAGTTAACTAGCTCCTCCGTAGAGATTTTTATATTCGTCAAGTTGTCCCATGGCTGGCAATCAGTAGGAAGGTCAAAAAGAACTATAGCGAGGGGGGCAAACCTCCCCCCAAGAAGGAGGGGATCTACCGTTGCCAAATGCTGTCAAATCAAATTGATGAAGATTTGGAAGACGCAATTTTTCTGGTTGTCAATTGATGTTTCCATGAACGATAATCTCTCAAAGTACTAATAATAGACCAACGATGACATATTTATTGGGGCTAAGTGGGGGGGGCATTCAAGGTTTGTTCTGGACACGCGGGCCCCGTTGGGGTTGGGCTTTTGGAGCATTTTGGGGGGGGGGGGGGTAGGCTAAAAAGTTTGGTTAAGAACTTGACAAGCGTGGATTAGGCCC